TCTCAGTATAGTTATTCACTGCATTTTTAAAACACTGAATATTATTTTTATGGTACATTAGTAGGTTTTGGTGCATATGTAATGGGTCTGACAAACTAAAATACAAGACTAACTTTATCATTACTAGTAAACATTACCAACAATGTCATCTGTAAGGAGTTTTTGCTATAGAAAGCTCTGATTTAATACTTGACAGGAAGCATTATTGCCTAAAGCTATGATGTACAGAAATCAATCTCAGTATTGGCATCATCCCTAATATGTATGCATATGTTTAGCAAGTAACTAGTCCTATACGTGCATTCTGTGTATACAAAGAAAACCAGCAACACTCTACTGGAGAACATGAGTTTTTTAAAAAAAAATGAAGAAGAGAGAGAAAAAAGAAGAGAGAGAGAGAAAAAAGAAGAGAGAGAGAGAAAAAAGAAGAGAGAGAAAAAAGAAGAGAGAGAAAAAAGAAGAGAGAGAAAAAAGAAGAGAGAGAAAAAAGCCTGGAGCAACTACAGTTCTTTTCAAAACCTCAAAACAATGAAATAAGCTAGTTAGAAAGTATTTTGGGAAAGCTATCATGAAGAAGCATGGGAAAATGATCCTTTTCCCAAAATTTCTCCAAATAGAAGAACAGTTTTAAGTAATTATATGTAAAAATTGAAATAGTATATCGAATATGTTGGGGGGAGGAAAGGGCAGGGAAATCACACTCTTTAGGAGTATTTTTCCCCAAAAGTTTCTTTCATTTACTTGTATACTGCTGAAAAAGTTATTTCTATATATTCTAAGCTTCAGTAGTTCATCAGATGATGTGCAGTTTATATGCCCCATAATACTGACTTTTCTCCTCAAACAATTTGTCTGGACTAAACTCAAAGCAAAGTACTCTCTCCTGTCCACACTCGCCCTGTGTCATGCACAGGGCACGCTGCTGAAATAAGTGTTTTGTAGCTGACGTGTAACAAGAAAGAACTGCTTCCTAAAGTCAAAAATAGGGTGGGGGTAGGGGGGGGAACCTCAGTAAAACATACGGAGAAATAAATCAGATTACACTATGCTGTGATTATTCAGGAAACATGAAAATTAAGTTTATTTTGTTCTATAGATTTTTAGACTAGGTTGATTTCAGTCAATATTTTAAAAGGGTATATAAGTATATAATTATGTGACATAAAACTGTTTTAGTCTTTTTTTTTTTTTACTGAAACTAAAAACAAAAAAGAGTATTATTCACACATCTTAAGTGTCATAGCTTCTTCCAAACGTAACATCACAGTTAATACAGATTTCCACTCTGTATTATCTGCTACAAACTGCAAAGGTGGGCAGAACACTAACAGAATACTCATCTTTAAAAACACCATTAAATAATTATCTGTAAAAAAATTACTGTAAAAGTGTTCTCACACATCAAGCATGAAAAAAGATTATGAAACACACTGCCAACTGGTAAAAATTTGGTTATCCTGCAATGTCCTCCATTCACAGTAGACACTGGACAGAGTCAAAAGACAAACAAGGAACTAGAAACGTGGTCAAGTCAGACCATAACCATCTTAAATCACCTACTTCACAAGATCATTTTATTGAAAAGGGAGAAATGCTGCTAGGTGTGATAGCTTAGTTGCAGTATTATTTCCCCTAAACAAGCCTGAAAAAGAAAAGAGAGAAAGGGAAGAAAGTATAGAGGTAGGAATGCTGTCATGTTCCTTGACAATTCAGGTTCAGTTCAGCCCCACTCCAGGTGTCAGTGAGAATACTGCATGTTAGTGTGAAGCAGTTTTCTGATTTTTCAGCTGAAGCTATATACTGTCCATCTGGGACAGAAGGGCCAAAAAGGGGTTGGTAGAAAGCTAATAATGAAATTAACCAATTCATCTTCCACCACCTTCAATCACATTAATCATTCATACGAAGCAAACATGAAAGTTATACTCATGGCATTCAATTCTGGGCATAACCACAAAATAAGAAATCCAACTAAACTCAACCAAGACGCTAGGAAAACTCCTAGAGTTATAAACTGTTCTTCCATTTACACTGAATTTTTGTGAGATTGATTGTATCAGACTGCTTGGGGACAGATAAGCAAAGACAACTCAACATATACTGGCACACTTCCTAAGTCCTGCTATTTTTTTTTTTCCCCACTAAGTTCCCAATTCGGCCAGTATATTTCAGAAAAGAGGCTTTACATATAATTACTCTTTCATTCAAATGACAGAGGTAAAACAAAGATATTTTGAAGAAACACAAATCATAAACAGTTACGCAAACAACAACCGTGTTAAGCTAGCCTTGCGATGTTCACTTTTTCCTCAAACATCCTTTGCACCCATTTATTATTTGCAGCTTTCACTTCTTACCATGACATAATCAGCATTTCAAAGAAAGGAAAGGGTCTATTTTTCTGTGAAATGCCTAGTATATTAAACAATCAGAACAAATTCTTCCTTCTGTGTTTCTGCTCAGCAGTCTGATAATGGAGTTACTTAGCAACAGATGAAGCACGTGAACTGTGTTACCTGATTCACACTTCACTGTGAAATAACACTCACAAGCTGCTGGTTGCCTCCATATAGATTTTTATATCTATATATTAAAGTATAAAATCCATTAGTCTGAGACAAGCTTCCATGAAAACCCAGACATGATATACAGTCTATAATGGACTGCACATTTTGAAATTAATAGGAATTGCCTGTAAGAGTCACATGATTTTGAGCACCTCTGAAAAAGGAAGAAATAAGAAAATAAAAAACAGAGCACACAGGCTCAATTTACAGTATTCACATGGAAGCTACAGAAGCTGTTTAAAAAGGAGGAGCAGGGGAGCAAAGGAGTCTTCTTCCTATGGCAGACTGACAATCTATGAACTTCAAATACACCAACCAAGCCCTCATATGTCAAGTGCACTTTTCTTGCCACAGAATATTTTGATTTCAGAGAATGAATACTTACTTATTTTGAAAACAAACACACATTTCCCCAAAATCATCATCTTCACCAAAAGAATAGGAAGCAAGATGTGCCACAGCAAATATTAACACTGGTTTTATTTTAGAAGGCCATCTTAAAAACAAAAGTAACCCACAGAATTTGACAATTCAAACAGTGAACTATCATTTCCCACCAACCATTGCTCTCTTTTAAGCTAAGTCCATGGCATTAAACAACTTTTTTTTTTTTAATTTTGCAAAGTCATTTTATTTTACAACCGCACAAGAATGTCTTACAAGTTGTCTTGGTTCATCACACAAAAATACACTTCCAGAAAGATTTGAAAGTCTCTTGCTCCTGGCAAGGGGAAAGCACATCAGCTTCTATAGCTTTGTCACCTAGTTCAAAGTTCATCATTCAAGTGTTATTTTATTCTAAAGATTCAATGGAGTTCATAACAGCTTTGTAACTTATTTCATGTTGACACTTCCAGATCAAGATTTAAGGACATGAATTTGGACTTTACAAAGCTAAACCAAGTTTGCCGCAAGTTTATTTTTTTCTGAAAAATTAAGATCGGGCAGCAGCTTTAAATAAAATCAGACATTAAAAAAAACCTACATGAGAAATTGTGCAAAGGGTAGTTTTGGTCAGTCACTTGACAAATTTTCAGAAGTGACAAAATAAAAGAAGTTTCCTATTCATGTGAGAGTACATATTCTCGTCATATTTCCAATGAAAAATTAGTATTATATTTCCAATAATGAAGGCAAGCAAATAAAGTGCAAATGAAGAGTATCTTTCCTGATTGTCTCAAAAACAAGATACTTTCTATGTCCCATTTGAACTGAGAACTTAGATGACATTTCAGTTAATAAAACCACAGAACTTTTTAGTACTAACAATTGTAATGTTAACTTCTTAGGTTGCATTTCAGACTATAGAGAATAAAAACTTCAATGGCAAGAAGTGGAAGACATATCTATAAGGAAGGTCAAAGTTAACACCTTACCCATGTGTTTTCCAATGATCACGCTATGTAGCTATTTATACACACAGTAATCTTTAGGTACAATTAAGAAATCTCTCATGTACAATTATGCAAAACTTTCATATGCACAAGTTTTTTCCTCCTTCATTCAAAACAAACAATACTTTGAATTTCCCTACCTTTCTCCACTTAATTTTTGCAGAAGTATGCTTTCTTTTCAGGCTTCTTGGAACTTTTATTTATCTTTTTTTTTTTTTAATTAAAAAGATTTTCATGTGTTAAGATGAACATTACAAGGATTAATTTTGACAGTACCCAAGATTATGTTTTGATATGGGAGGAGGAGACATGCCCTTTTTTCTGCATTTGAACTATTCTGAGATCTCAGGTTTGACCATTATCTCCTATTTCTCAACTTCCTACAATTCTGATCCAAAGCAATGAACAGCTTTTTGGAAAAAAAAAAAAAAACCCACAAAAAAACCCCATTGTCAAATGAACTATCTTAGCAGTGCTCTACTATACCATTTAGTAGATACTGGCTTTCAACTTTAGAAACCATTATTTCAGAGACTGCTTATAATTAGGACACAACATAGTTTTATTAATCCTCAACAACTTCCTTCTACTAGCACAGGCACACTACTGCATTCTGATGAGAAAGTGACTAATTTAAAGAAAAGATTATCACAGTGTATTATTTGTAATCAAGAACGCAACCCCTCAAAATTTTTTAGTTTATTTTGCACTTTCTACTGTAGAAAAACATACTGGTATAAACATATGGACAAATCATTTTCCTACACAAATCAGGCATCTCTCAAACAACTGTTCTTGGAATGTCACATCAAATCCAAAAGTTAATGTGTACCAAGAATAGCATTAGCTTAACTTGTACTTTGAGTCACATTCTGAGGTATCTCTGTAGAACCTAAATTTTCACAGCTAGAGAACATTTTTACGCAATTCACTGCCAAAAAGCAGCTATTCAGACGTAAGTTTTAAACAGATAAAAAGCAAGTGAAAGCTTTGACAATGAAAATGCTGAGGAAAAAAATAAATCATGACATGTACTTACTAATTTGTTTTCTTGCATGTATATTCTTTGCAACTTCAGACAGCCTTTAGCTATAATGATCATTCCTTCATCTGAGATCTTGTAACATTGCCCAAAATGAATGTCTTTCAATTCTCTGCATTTTGAACCTAGCTGCAATTAATGAAATCAAAGCAAGCATATAAGAATAAAGGGAAAAAAAACAATTGGATTTGACTGAATTGGAGAATTAAGATTTCTTTCTGCTTCTCTGCCTCTCCTTAAAATTATCTTTCTTTACAAGTTTTGTAAATACTATACACAAACAAGAAAGATTATAATTACATACATAATGAAATTGCTAACTACAGTCAACAAAATGGAGCTAAGAGCAGCACATAAGAACTAAGTTATTTATTGGGCATATATATAAGTAGCTAACAATGCCTGTATGCTAGACCATTGACAGTATATTTGATTTAACACAACTACTTCACAGCTTACCCTAAATGCTCCTTTAACACAAAAGACATAGTCGATGAAACCTTCCTGCAGGCCTAACATATAAAGATCTCAATCACCTTCAGCTTTCAAGATGCAAAAGAGTTAGTTAAACACTGGTTCCAAATAGGAACTAAGCTCAGGAAAACTTAATCAGCCAGAGGTGAAGTACAGGATGTCAAAGTGAAGATTTCATTATAAAAGGGATCATTTAATTCCTGGATATAAAAAAAAAAAAATAAAAAAATATGTGCAGTCTCTAAAGAACAGCATTTACTGCACCAGGAAAATATGTCCATAAACCAATTTTTAAAGTAGAAAAGGTCATCTGATTTTAATTAAATCCTAGAAGAGGATACCTTCTTCCATGTCCTTTTTTTGCACTGGGTAAGAAGTTGAAAGGTACTAAATTTACAAAAGAAATTTGTGCAACGGATAAGTTACCTGCTTTAGGCCTTCATCAGTGAGTCTGTCTTGATTGCCTACGTGCACTTTCTGAAGAAGAGGACACTGAGAGGCAACTGCAATAATAGAAGTGTCAGAAAGCTGTTTACACCTGTAGGCAGTATACCTGAGGAGTCCAGGACATTTAATTGCTAATATGCATACGCCTGTATCAGATACATTGCGACAATCAGAAATATTGATTTCAGTAATATTCTGGCTTCTTGATGCTATCTTTTCCAACAGCTCATCGGTGACCTGCAAAGAAAATACAAATACTCAAATTTTACTTTTTTCATAAACATCTTGAATTTCACTAGCACAAAAATTACTATTTGTAAGATGCATTTCCATTAGCTATTGGAAGAATGAAAAGATTCATTTTCCAAGATAAAAGCATACTTGTATAATCAGTTTTACAGCTATCTTTAAAGAATTCCGCTACAACCCTTGAAGAAAATAACAGTTAACGGTCCTCTTCATATTTTAGACAAACAATTCTCCATCCTTTTAAAAAAAATTAAAAAAAAAAAAAAAGGATTTGTTTGCTCTTCTGTAGCAGCACCTTACATACCTAAGGTAGCATTTACAGAGAAGTAAAGGGTTTATATGTCTCTGAAATGCAACAGGTTTTTACTTAGACTTTGGTAATCATCCAAAACCAGGTGCAGTGGACAAATACTACAGTGATGCAGGTAACAATGGACTTTTTAACAATGGAAACAGTCATCTAGGGTAGCAGTGAATGAAAGGGATGAGAAGAACACCGGAATGAAAAAAAGGTATTTAAAACCCAGAAGTTTCCTCCTGTTATTTGCTCAGTGTTAAAACAGAATATTTGCATATTTTAAAGTGTTAGCCTATGAAAGCCCATTAAATCAGATACATGCACTATTTTCCCAGAGCTCCACTGAAGAAAAAAGATTCTATCTGCTTTGTACTGTACGTATTAGTTAATTAACATGCCAATCATTTTAAGAGAAGCCAGTCCCACAAAGCAGGTAAGAAACATAGGAGATTCTTCATGGTCAAGTTTATAAGTTAAAACAAACCAAACAAAACCAAAGCAGGTAAGACACAATGCATAGAACTCCCTCAATTTAAAAGCTTAGCTTCAAAAAACCTGAGATGACATATGACCAAAGTCTAACAAAACCATTCAAAACATTTATCCACCACTTAGCATAGGTGAGATCTAGCTTTAAGCCTGGAGAGGGGAAGAGAGCAGCACGAATCCCTTTTGTTTTCCTCTTACACAGTTGAGAAACAAACACTTTCTTTGCTGCATTCAATCTGTTTTCCATTAGTAGCAAGTCTAATCTCTTTTCTTGCTATTTCATCAGGGAGCTGTTAGCTAGAAAACATGACGAATTGCAAACAAATTCCAAAAATCAAACCCAAAAAAATCCAAACCAAAACCCACACACTAAAAACCACAAACAACTCCCCTTCTCCCCCTGCCAAAAAAAAACCAAACAACAAAACCAACAATAACCAAAAAAACCAAACCCACCCCACACAAAAAGGATAACGTTTGTGTTTTCATATTGGTTTAGGAACTCAATAAAAAACTGGCAAGATAGGTTTCTTAGGGCAATGCCACAACTGATAAACTTTAGTGACATCCCAACACACCTAGTAGGCAAAACCATTAAAAAAAATCTTCCTTGCAGAAATAAGGCTACACCTCAAGACAAGGAAGAAGAAAGACTGATTTGACACACGTACCTACAGAGCAAAAAGATGGACCTCTGATATAAGTGTGCTTTGGAGTAACATCAGAAAATTATTAGACAATCTGCTACGCAGCTTCTGCATAATGTTTCATAAATATTTTAACTAGTAAGTCTAGAAGCAGAACTCGCATGCTTTCTCATGAATTGGTGATCTGAAAATAATATCCCATGTACAATCCTTATGTCCAACATAGATGAGTTCATGTTGGTGCTTCTTCCAATGAGACCCTTCAATGGTTGTTCCCCTGCACCTTATGTTTTCATGAAACTCTCAAGAAATTGTTCTATAAACCTCTGCAAGTAACTAAGTAACAAAAAACCTAAAGGGGCTAGCCAAACAATACAGGCATCCTTAAAAAAGTTTTCCAAGGAGAAAAGTTATCCTGAACAATCTAAAGCTAGGGTGTGTAAGGATATCACTAAATGAAATCTACGAATCCCAGACATATTTAATTCTAGGATCAGCTGAAGGGCTAAAAAGACACAATGTGTCTTCTCATTAGAAGAAGCCACATCAGCTGAAGGAAAATTAAAAAAAAATTGCAAAAACAAACAGAGAAAGCACCAGTTAGGTGATCATTCTTCAAAGCAGAGCATCCTCAGAAAAGCTCATGTATGTCTTTCAATTATTATGAGATCTGATAGTTCTTACGAATGGAACTACCACTAGTTGATGCAAACCTGAGACAGGTAACCCACAATCCATTTAAAATAGCAGTTGTCCTCACACCGTCTAACAACTGAGCTCAGTCAAAAGAGGCTACATTTAAAGGAGTTAATCTAAGGGTCCAGACAGTAATCTAAGGGTCCTCTAACCCCTGAAAGCACAGACATCACCATTTTATGGGTGTCTTTTGTTTACCTTTGGACAAAAGTACAAGTTCTGAGAAAAAATTCCTAGTTATCAAAACACAATTTTTCCACAATGATACCTTCATACCTGTTGACGACTACTGAGATCCAGTTGCTTCCAAAACTGAAAATCCAAACAGAGGTCACGCCAATATTTACAGACTAATGATGCTGACAGGCAACGCTCATTCAGAGATAAATTGGAAAATATCTGTAAAGAAAGAGAAAAATGTATTCTTTGTCAGAAGTAATCATATTTTAGACAGAAGTATTTTATTACTAACCCATCTTGTAAAAGACAGAAAAGTATTTGCATGCATTGCAACACAGTTCTAGAACTTGCAAGGTTTAGTCAAGGACAATAACAAAAAACCCACAGCAGCTGACAATATTAGTAAGTCACATTAGCACAACCAGCAACAGAGTGTATCCTACTTAAGCACTCATTTCTTAGACCAAATTTCAAATGTGCTTCTAAGATGGCATACCTAAAGAATTACAAACACAAGCATTATCTCAATGTTATTTGCAAGCCACTGAAAAGGTGTTGTCATTCTCTGTCTGTTTCCAATAGAAAAACCTTTCCTTTTATTTCTTAACTGAATTGGAAAAAAAGTCATAAAGGTACTAAAACATCAGTCTTGTGGGAAGGTGGCATGGAATAGTGGAGCAGATCAGCAGAGCAAGTCAGCGTCATACAAGGAAACTAAACACGTAAGTAGCATTTTATACCCCAAGGTTTTGACCACTATAGCAGCCTGCAAAGAAGAATAAACTGTAACTTTAAGGAAGGGTCATAAATTGCTTTTACGTTTATTGAATTCAGCCCTTCCTCAGAAGTACTGTTGCTTATTAATAAATGCAACTCTTGACAGATTTTCTTTTTATATATGAAGGTACCCTGTCACCACAAATGAACTTTAATCTACACGTCCTCCTATAATGAAAAAAGGCAATCACAGCATTAAGATACCTACCCAACTGAAGAACACGAAACAGTCCTCCCATTTAACTGTTGAGGACATCAGGTACTCAGTAAAAGCACTATACCCAATCTCAGGCAACGTGCTCAAGAAAATCTGAAAATATTGAAGAGTGTCCATAGGAAAGCACTGAGGTCTAGAAAATGTGGAAACATTTGAAGAAAAGACTAGGACTGTTTAACCAAGCAAAAGGAACAGCAAATACAGTAAACAAACTTGAGAGAACACCACTTTCATCTTCTTTGTGGTGAGTAGGACAATTAGTCTCAAAAATTGTCAGGATAATGAAGCATTGGAACATAATAGCTTACAGAATTTCCATCACTGGGTGGTCTTTGGAATAGACTATAGACAATCAACTGTCAACAGAAACAACCATTACTCTCCCCTTGTCCTAGGAGATGGCTCAGCTCAGCAGGTTTAAATACGTACATCCCTATAAGACCCCTTGGCAAAGGGGAGTTGGTTGACTATTCCTAGAAGATCTGCAAAATGTAAGCGGGAAGGGGGGGGGGGGGAATAAATCAAATCCACCACCTTGCATAAATGCTTGTGAGATTTATCACTCCCATCTTCTTCTAGCTATGAAAAATTCACAATCTCTTATTTAAGACTCCTTGCAGTGTGAAGGATTGTGCATGAATCCTCTTTTCCTGCAGGCCTTTGCTTGACCATTACCAGAGTCAACGAATGTTTCTTACTATAGAATCAGTTGAACATGGGCAGACATAAGTGCAGATAAAACAATCAACACCTGCTTCCTCCCTGATTTCTTTGTCTGTACTGGTGAATCCATGCACAGAGCAAGGATGTGGCTGTGATCAACACCCAAAAAATACCATCACCCCCAGTCAAGCAGTGGAAAAAGCACTAAATAAGTAGTAATTTAACATCTGACATTCCTACCGCAAAAGTGTAATTCTAAGCATTAGAAAAAGATGTTAGTCTGATGATTCTCATCAACTCTGTTACTAAAAGCAGTAGGAAACCTGAGTTCCTACTTCCAGTAGGAAACAGAAGACAGAATCTTTGAGCAGTTACAAAAACCTCAGAAGAGAGCAAGGCAATATGATCCACATTATGTTTAGACAGACAGCAGAATGACTCCAGTAAATACTATGAACAGATGCCAAGGTTGCAACCAATCTTCGCTACAGTAGAAAATAAATACGCTTATTTATGGAAATACTACCTTCACTTTGAGACACAAGAGCTTACAGTTCTTAAAACAAGAACATAGCATAGAACAAGGAAGACTGTTGCTAATCCAGCTGCCATTGTGACTATGAAAGCCCCTAAATAATTTTTGTTCCAACTACCATGTTACCAAAAGCTGAAAGCCCTCACAAGCATTTGTGGTCGTATTTTAGTCCATGCTGTACTTAACTGTAGCTGCAGAGACAAGTAAGGAGTTTGTTCCAACTACCATGTTACCAAAAGCTGAAAGCCCTCACAAGCATTTGTGGTCGTATTTTAGTCCATGCTGTACTTAACTGTAGCTGCAGAGACACGTAAGGAGTGTACAGGTGTTGCAAATTGACTTCTTGGAGAACAATAATCTGAGTGAAGCCACTGGGGGGCAAAACAGCTGCTGAAAAAGTTGCAGTTCTAGCACGGACAGGAGTAACCAAAAGAAGTTACCCAAGCAGTACATGTTCAAAGATAAGGCCTTGCCAGTTTTGTTGTCTGCAGTAACTATAAAAGTTACAACTATAAGAGGATTCTGAATAATGACGTGTAAAACATCAATTTCTCCTCAGATCTTGCAGTTGTTAATAGAAGATGTATTGAATTACACTAAATGGAATTTAGTAACAAAGCCTATACACATTCCAGCTTGGTGGCACATCATCCTTACATTAAGGGATTATCTCTGCTGCTGGTCAAAATACTACACTAATGCATAAAATGCTATAATTCACCACCCTTTAATTCAGTTTCATTCTCTAGATATATACTGATACTGTGGCAACTTAATTGTACTGAGTTTTAGATTGGTTTGTAATTTCCAAGGCTGTATAAATACAGCTGAAAGCTAAAACCATTCCTACCCCCAAGGCTGTTCATTTAACTCCTGCTTATGACAGATAACTTCCCGAGGGCAGCGGGTCCACTAGTTAGAACATTTAATTCCTGAAAATTGTACTCAAGCATGTATACCTGCAAGTCCCATACTCACTTTTCCCCCTCCAGCTCTGTCTAATCCCCCTTCCAAGTACCAGAGAGACTGAAATATGCTTCAGCACTCTCAAAAAAAAAAAAAACACCCCACAATTTGAATAGCATTTTCTAGATGCATTTAACACCTTGTTTTTTCCCCTTTATTGGCAAGAGGCAGGGGTAGAGGAAGCAGAGTTCTACAAAAGAAGCAAACTGTTTTACCTCAGCCGGTAGGTAAGCACCATGCAGCCGCTCACTCCCCTCCCCATCCCGTCCCCACCTCCCCCCTCCCC